GTTTTTGAGAATGAGACATAACAGTCAAACTGTCTGTTACAAATGATTTTGCGCCAAAATATTAGAGTGGCCTTAACAACAAATATTAACATTAACAACAAATATATGGGAAGCGTTTTCTTCTCCCTATTTAAAATTTAAGCCCATGTGTTTTAAAAGTACAAATTATCTCTGAACTATATATGTGACCCTGGACCACAAAACCAGTCATATGTAGCACGGATATATTTGTAGCAATAGCCAAAAATACATTGTATGGGTCAAAATGATCGATTTTTCTTTTATGCCATAAATCATTAGGATATTTAGTAAAGATCATGTTCCATGAAGATATTTTGTACATTTCCTACCATAAATATATCAAAACTTCATTTTTGATTAGTAATATGCATTGCTAAGTACTTCATTTGGACAACTTTAAAGGCGATTTTCTCAATATTTTGATTTTTTTGCAGCCTCAGATTCCAGATTTTCAAATAGTTGTATCTCGGCCAAATATTGTCCTATCGTAACATATACTAAGCTTATTTATTCAGCTTTCAGATGATGTATAAATCTCAATTTCGAAAAATTGACACTTAAGACACTTTAAATAATTAATGCCGTTGTCTTATTTTTCTATATAGAAATGATTGCATTTTGCATTTCCATTTAGTATTGTTTTTTTCCTTCCTGTCCACAACTTTATCTGAACGCACCTTTTGGGTCTCGACTCACCAGTTGAGAACCACTGGTTTCTAATATACTTACACCTTTTGACTTCTTGTTTTATTTTCTTCTTCTAGCCATACAGCAGCGGTAAACCATGTGTTGGTTGTGGAGGTATGATGACAAGAGCAGCCTTCTCAAGCCACTGGGAGGGCGGACAGGGCTGTAGAAACAAGGTTAAGATGAGCAGGTATGTGCTGATTTCGTTATACTTTATAAACCCTGTGGCAGTGAAATATAGCATAATGTAACATTTACCTACTGTTACATACTGTATGTTGCAACATGTCATATATTTTATTTGATCAATACCTTACGTACACTGTCACATCTAACCTTAAACTAATAGTTGTTGACAAACCTAGAATATGGTCGTTTTTTTTTTTTTGCACATGTAAACTGTTGGTGACCCATGTGTTCTAAACGAATTTGGTTATGACCTGATCATGGGTTTTATGTCTCTGAACTGTATATGAACTTATTATTTATTATTATTAATTATGTTGTTTTTCTATACAGGAACGACCGGCAAAAATACACCAATACATGTAAAACAGTGGCAAAGAAAAAGACTAAAGACTAAAAAGTAACTAAAGATACCAGAGGACCTTATTTTCAGCCAATCAGATGATACATGGCTAGGTACCTAATCATGTTTGTCATCAAATCACATTTTTTGATTTTCTTTTCAGATGATTTCACAAAATTCTTTTCTTGCAGTGTACAGTACATTGAATTTGAAATAAAATACATTTGACATACATAAAATAGATTTTTCATATATTCAGCATAACATGTAAACTGTTCCCACTTTCTAGACATCTCCTCTCTTTTTGTTTGCTAGTAGACAAAAAAAACATACATATTGTATGTGCATAAATGCATTTACATCTTTGGTTTTAGATTTCTTAAGAATACCTGAAATGATGCTAGTCAAGAGTCATTTAGACTTCAGAATTTTGCTAAAGGTTACAATCATTATGATGAGATGTTATTATGATGTTATTTTAGTCACTGGACATTTTCTCTCTCTCTTATTTTTTTTTTCAAACTGCAACCACATCAAATTATGGATTATTGTATCTAAAATGTAGTAGTGCAATAAGCAAAGTATGGAATGCAAAATATTTCTGTGCATTTTCTATGATTGTAATTGAAATAAAATGATGTACAAAATATTTTTGTTATTATTATTAATATGGAATGGGATATGCAGAATATTTAATTCAACACTGCATACAGTTGTGGTCATAAGTTAACACACCCCAGAATCTGCTAAATGTTAATAATTAAAAAAATATGTTAAAAATATTTTTATGACAGTGTTGGTCTTGGTGGACTAGATCTGCTACAAACACTACTGCTACTTTGAACATGTAAGATATGTTACTGTTGTATGAATACGCATACATAAATTCCGTAGTAGATCTAGACAGGTGGAGCTGGGGGAATCGGAGGGTTTCAGAGGACCTCTGATAGCGCGCTGTAGGACCAGCTTAGAGCAAACACTGAACCAGACTCTTTACTGTAAATGTTAAGCAAGAGTTTACATATAGTCCACAAGTTAAAGTCAAATGCATTTTTTTTATTTATTAGCTTTATTTAGTTGTACCAAAGCAGAAAGATCAGTGGAAATTGTTATTTTGTCTTCTGCATAGAAGAAGGTCCTTGTTAGGTTTTTGATAATAGTTACATTTAACATCTATGTGAAGTTTCAGTTTTTTATTTATTTATTCTAACTAATCTGTGGATTCAGTAAAATGGCGAGAACTGATCCATTCAATAACCAAGACACTAAAGAGAGTGAGAGACTAGGGTTTTGGGGAAAGCTTTTCTTTTGCACCAGGATTTGAAGGAAGTAATCCAGCATAACATTTGTTTTCTTGCGGTCTCGGTTCATGTTTTGGAAAGGTTGGGTTGTGGGGTATTGGCTGAGAAAACCAAAGAGAAAGTGCCCTATAATGGCTTGATAGGAGGTCTAAGTATGGCTCAGCAGTATAAATAGGGCTGGGTTATTCCCATTAGCATTCACTTGTCTTTGCTCAATCTAGCAGCAGGATGTGGAACATCACTGAAGTTGCTCTTCAGCTCCTGACCTCCACAGCTTCAGACAGTCTCCTCCAGCCCCTGTGGGACTACCTGTTGTTCCAGCACTTCACCCTGGTCTCGTCTCCATTCTTCCCAGTGCTGCTCGCCTTCTCCAGCTACGTCATCTTCAGCGTCCCCTTCACCATCCTGGATGTCTTGGGAGAGATATCTCCTCTCTTCAAGTACAAGATCCAAAAAGAGCGCCATCCCACCATCATCTAGTGTTTGTGCTTCCGGCTGTGTTGATCACCAATGTAGTGATGCCTACGCCTCCACTTCCTGCGGTTGCTCCAACAGTATGGGAACTGATCTCCGGCGGGTTGGGTGTTTTGCTCATCTTTGACGCCCAGTACTTCTGGCATTTGGTGCACCACAAAAATCCTCACCTGTACAGAATGGTCCACGCCATCCATCACGATTACATCTCGCCGTTCTCCTGGTCCACCCAGCCCCTCAGCGCTGTGGAGCTGATGACAGTGGGCTTCTGGAGTAACATCGAGCCCATCCTGCTCAAGTGCCATCCTCTGACCATATGGACTCTCACTGTTTTGTGGAAGACCATATTGGCTACGACCTGCCTTATTCGCCCAGCCACCTGGTTCCTTTTGGGCTTCTTGGAGGAGCAATGGCCCATGACATACATCACCAGAAACCCAGCAGCAACTTTGCACCTTTCTTTAGTCACTGGGACAGATTCTTTGGCACTGCCGTAACAGTGAAATGGACTAAGAAAATTGATAAAGAAAAGTAGACGGTTTCATTGGTTTTAAACCTTTAATCTGTGTAAATATAGACCATTTAAAATACTTGTATACATTTTTTTTTTTCTATTCTTGTATTTCTGTCTGCATTCTATATGGCTGAAATTAATAAAGAAAATTTTTCTATATTTTGTTGTGCAAGTTTCAGAATATTAAATATGCAGTCCATTTTTATTATAAAAATAATTTGTTGCCCTATACGGTATCTAAGCCACACATTTACATTTAAGCATTTTATCCAAAGCGACTTACAAAAGAGGAACAAAAGCAATTTGTCAAAGAGCCAACAATATTTGTAATATGCAATTCCAGGTTTATTAGACAACTAGATTTGGAAGCGAGCTAGAAAAGAGGAGGAATGCAGAAAATAAATAGATTTTTGTTGTTGTTGTTGATGTCTGAATTATTATTCTAGTAAACAGCAGCCAGAAAGTGGTACCACATAACAACCCGTCTTCGCATTAGTTACAGCCAGTGGTCTGATATTTTACAGCTTTACAGTAGTTATGTAAAACGACATCATATCTGGTAACTAACCCGATTACTGAGTCGGTGATTTTTAAAGAGAAAGGTATTTTCGATACCCTCAAAGCTTTAGTGCTTTCCTCCAAATCACTACCAATAATTTATTACAGATTAAAAGGTCAAATATTCCTTTACCAAATATCAACTTGCAAATCTCTTTGAAATGGGGATGAATAAATAAGTTTTTTAGCCAATAACTAACCAAAAATATTTTGATATATTTAAATGTGGACTCACAGTGCCAAAAAAGACTAGATATATGTGGACTATATAAATGTGAAATTTAAAAATAATAATAAAAAAAAGCCTGACAAAGATGTAACCAAAATACAAATGTTGCTATATTCACCATGCAAACAAGTCTGAGAGGTCATGACAGAAGTTACTGGAGTGCATGCTTTCTTCAAATTAAATTATACGATTATAATTTTGCACAAACAGCTGGCCTGACTCACGAACAGAAGAATCAATATGGCTCTCCAAACGTTTACATTTGCCCAGAGGCATAAACAAAAGACTTGCATGAAAAACACTAATAGTCAGCGTCTCAATGAGTTTTATGGTTCATTTCATTAGCCTGTTCACGTCTGAAGCATGAAAACATCTGTATGTACGCATTGATGACTTCAATCAAACCTTATGCTCATTTCAAGGTCTGTGAACCACTGAAGACAAACATCTAGACTACAGCTGAATGCTTCCCAGCCTGTTCCGTTACTGAGGAAAATGAGGGGGGAAAAAGAACAATCTCTAACAAAAAAAAAACATGCACTAATGTGACCGGTCTAGGTGTTGGGAGTAAAGTTGGATTCACACACATCAATAAATATAGAAAGACATTAAAAGAGTTCAAATTTTATTGCACTCAAAACATTGTTAAAATGCTTGAAACTTGAAAACAATAAATATGACCTTAAGAATTACAAAAAAGAAAAGAAAAAACACCTGTTAGTGCATGCTCTTATTAAGATACTGCACAAACATATTGGCAATCTGTCCAATGTTCTCTGTCGGATGCATCTTGGTGTAACTGATGAACTGACGTCTGAGTTTCCTCAACTCCACCATGTTAAGACTTCTTGTGAGTTCAATGTATTGAAGAAGTTAAGAAAACTGGGCTGGTACAATAATGTACATAAGTATTTGTGGTAAAAGTACCACAAAAATATTAATCAGCACAACTATTTTTAACTGTGGTAATAAGAAATGTTTCTCAAGCACCAAATCAGTATATCAGAATGTATTGTGTATCATGTGACACTGAAGTAATGGCTGCTGAACATTCAGCTTTGCCATCACCAGTTCTGGATAGATTACTTACAACTTGTAGTTCATTGCTGATTACAGTTTCCATGTCGAAAATTGTAGTTAGCAATGTAATTGATTGGATTACACATATTAGGTAATGTATTCTGACTAATCTTTATTTCTGTAATATATTCCATTGTTTGTTATCAACATCATGAAATGTATTAAACATTACATTATGCCAGGGTTTCCCAAACTGGGGTTCATGAGTTGATGAAAAGCTAATAATTAATTAAATTATGAGCATTTTATTAATATGTAATACAATCTAATTACAAGTATTTAATTTATCGAATTTCATAATCCAGAATACATGTAATCAGTTACTACTCAGCACTGGCCATCACAGAACAAAATTACATGAAAAGAAATATTGAAATTTAAAAAAGTTATTAAACATTTCACAATATCACTGTTTTACTGTATTTTTGGTCAATTAAATGCAGCCTTGGTGAGCATAATTGACATGCAAAAAAAACTTTTGAGTGGTAGCGTATGCTGGAAACCTAGCTACAAGACAACAAAGAACGAGTATAGATGAATTTCTAATAATATCCAATTTGAATTATGTATTATTTCAAAGGGCCACCTGCACTGGTCCATCTCTCTACGTGTCTAAATGCTAAAGCAGTTACGGACGGCCACCAAACTGCAATTGCATCAGAAAGAAATGACATTCTTTGATGTTTGTGTATTCATTACATTCATATAGGTCCAACTTATTACTACAACACATCTTCAATTAACATTAAACAGATCAACTTTCTGTCAGGAAGTTGCAGTCGAGCTTATTAAAGTTCCAGGCTTGATCCTGGATTCATGTTGTAAGCGTTTCTAAAGCTTTGCCTGTGTATAGCAGGGCATTTCTGTGTTGTCACAGTGAAAAATATCAAAAAGCTATGACGGGTGGCTTAGCAAAAGCAAGACAACAATTTTACATTTCCTCCCACAAAAAAACAAAGAAAAAAAGAAAACGAAAGTAATTCAAAGCTAAAGATATGCTAAACATGCAAGAATAAAGGATATCTTTTCCGTGGCTCCAGGAATGGAAACGAGATCTCCAGGGAAGCTGGTCTTCTGTGACTCAAGAACAGCCTGAGACATAAAACAACACATATGACAACACATACTATTGATACTAATGGTCTTGCTATGCAAATGCAAACTATAAACGCTCACCTGTCGGCAATGAAACAGAAAGAATGACTTTGAATGCTTTCTATTTTTATAACAGAACACCTAAAGGTGATGGAAATCGTACCATTAGGACATCTTGAGTAACTTTGTCCAACTCATACAGAAAGTTTGTGGATGAGAGCGGTTGCTGTAAAAGGCAAAGAGAAACAGGTTCTAATATCCATTCAAGGGCAATAAAAAGTACATAATGCTGCTATATTCTCATCCATAATGCATTCCTAGCACTCTTACGCTCTGCGTGGACTGATTAGGTGGTGGTGCTTTTCTTTTGAAAAGTGCATCGCAGATGGCTTCAAATGGAAGCGAGTCTTCTTGCTGAATAGTAAAGAGTGGACTATCCCATCTATTCCTTGAATCAGGGGCTTCAAAACGCAGTACTAGCGCATCAAGACTGTTGTTTAAAAGACCAGAAGACATTGTTAAATTTAGATAATATATTCAGAATCTTTATTTGATAATGTTATGAACTTTTTGAAAATACACTACCATTCAAAAGTTTCGAGGCCAGTAAGATTTTTTAATTGTGTCTCTTACGCTCAAACAAAGCTGCATGTATTAGTTAAAAAGCAGTAAAAACAGTTGTGATTTTTTCACATATTGTGAAATATTACAATTCAAAATAACTTTTCTATTGTAATATATTTGTAAAAGTTTTTTTATGTGATGGATAAGGTTAGTTTTCAGCAGCGGATTTGGTGAGATTTGATCAAGAAAAAATGTATTATCAATTTTGAAAACAGCTGTGTTGCATTTTTTTCTTTTAAACAATAATACGTTCACTGAACAGCATTCATTTAAAATAGAAATCTTTTGTAACATACCAGACGCTTTTGATTAATTTAACGTAACATTGCTAAATAAAAGTATTACTTTCTTAAAAAAAAAAAAAAAACAATCTTACTGAACCTAAATGTTGGAACGATAAATGTACATCTAATATCTGAAACACACAATTAGAGGAATAGTTAACCAAAAAGGAAATTTGCTAAAAATTTGCAGTGAATGAATGCCATCAGAATGAGAGTTCAAACAACTGATCAGGGCAGTCGTGGCCTAATGGTTAAGAGATTCAGACTTGTAACCCAAAGATTGCGGACAAATCCATCATCAAAAAGTTTAGCTGATTTATCAGCTGTTTGAACTCTCATTCTGACGGCACCCATTCACTGCAGAAGATATCCATTGGTGAGCAAGTGCTGTAATGATAAGATTTCTCCAAATCTGTTCAGATGAAGAAAAATTAATCTACACGAGGGTGAACATTTTCAGCAAATTTTCATGTCTGTGTGAACTATTCCTTTAATATACAGTGGGTATAGAAAAGAATCACCCCCCTTTAAATTAATCACATTTTGTTGCTTTGCAGCCTGAAATGAAGATGGACACAGTTTTTGTTTTATCCAGCTGCATTTACTCAGTGCAACTTATAACATCAAAGTGAAAGATATAACACCAACATGTCAGAAAAAATGTTTTAAAACAAAAAAACTGAATCACCGAGTTGGAAAAAGGATCACCCCCCTCCTAAAAATGACTTGTAAACTCAATCAGTTGTAGCTAATCACCTTCTCAATGGCACACAAAGCCATTTGACTTTTAACTGTGATCAGCTGTGGTCAGTTTGATTAGCTTGGTAGTCCTTGGTAGTGCAACTGAGGCCTAGTCCACATGTAAACGTTTTTTCCTCCGTTTAAAAAAAAAAATCTGGTCCACATGAAAACGCAAAAACTCACAATGAAGTGCCGTCAAGAGCATGCCAAACCAACAGGTGGCGATATAACCCTAAACGTAAAGCCATGTTGGTCAATCAGAAGCCTGAAAAAAAAGGTTATGACCTTTTTGGTTATATCATAAAATTGATCGTCTGCCAAAAACTGATTGCCGTCTGTAATCACTTTTTAGCAAGTGTAAAACTGCGTTTTATTGGCCATTTAAATGTATTTCAACAGGTAAAAAGGACTGAATGAGCTATAATCTATCAAATATAACAACCATGAATGAAATCAAGTCATTTTGACACAGAAAGAACAGTTCACTCAATAAGTAGAGTCTGTAATCACTTTTTGGCAAGTGTAAAACTGCATTTTATGGGTATTTCAACAGGTAAAAAGGACTATTATTAAGAAGTGGAAGGTATTTGGTCCCTGGATCAGGACGTCACTATAAACTGGATGAAAGAGCCATGAGGAAACTGCTCAGAGAGGCTACCAAGAGGCCTACAGCAACTCTGAAGCAGTTACAGGAATTTATGACAAAGAGTGGTCATTGTGTGCATGTGACAACAATATCACAAATTCTCCACAAATGTGGCTTGTATGGGAGGGTTGCAAGAAAAAAGCCACTCCTCAAGAAAGGCCACATGCAGTCATGACTGAGCTTTGCCAAAATACACCTTGAAGATTCTGAGGCAGATGAGACTAAGATTTAATTATTTGGCCTCAACACCAAACGAAATGTCTGGCGGAAATCCAATACAGCTCACCATCCAAATAACAGCATTCCTACAGTAAAGCATGGAGGTGGTCATATCCTGTTATGGGGGTGTTTCTCTGCAGCAGGGACTGGAACACTTGTCAGGATAGAAGGAAACATGGATGAGGCAAAATACCGTCAAATTCTTGAGGAAAATCTACTGCCCTCTGCCAGAAAGTTGTCAATGGGAAGAAGGTTTACCTTCCAGTATGACAATGACCCAAAGCACACAGCAAATCTGAGCACACAGTGATTAAAGGAGAAAAAGGTGAATGTCCTTGCATGGCCTAGTCAAAGCCCAGACTTAAAACCCATTGAAAATCTGTGGAATGACTTGAAGACTGCAGTCCACAAACAGTCACCATCAAATGTAACCGAACTTGAGGAGTTCTGCAAAGAAGAGTGGGCAAATATTGCAACGTCTAGATGTGCAAAGTTAGTAGAGACATATCCCAACAGAATAAAGACTCAAATTAAAGCAAAAGGTGGTTCAACAAAATACGGGGTGATAATTTTTTCAACTCTGTTTTCTTTTTTTTCCCTGACATATTGGTGTTATATCTTTCACTCGGATGTTACAAATTGCACTGAGTAAATACAGCTGGATAAAACAAAAACCGTGTCCATCTTCATTTCAGACTGAAAAGCAAAAAAATGTGATTATTTTAAAGGGGGGTGATTCTTTTCTATACCCACTGTAACTACACTGAAACAAAGCAACAAATGCTTACATTTCCTGTGTACTGAGAATCAGCCTCTCTGCCTTTATTCCATTCTGAGCTCACGTCAGTTGACGTCAAACAGTACACCTGCAGGAGTTATAGTTATGTTAAGTAGTGCATACAAAAATAGTTTTAAATGTGTCTGAGATGAGGTTTAGGAGTTTACTTACCAAGCAATGGGGTGTTTGTGTATGCTTGATAAGACAGAACAGCTCATATCTGTAGCCTAGAAATGAAACTAAATTAGTCCTTAATCTAATGCCAGACTGAAATCAAGAGTGCCGCATGCAACACCAGCTTTTTAGACCAAGCTCTGTTATTATAATGCTGAAGTCTGTATGTCACTCAATATAACATTAAGAAATGTGTTGTACTCTTGTACAGGATCAATAATTTCTAAAGGTCAAAACAAATTAAACAACTAGCTTTATATGAATATCAAAGGCACAGATGTATTAATTTTAACAGAACAAACACTGATTTACCTTTAATATAATTCAAGGAATCAAGAATCACAATGTCGTCTTTACTGACTTTCCTATATACACAGAGAGAGAAGTACAAAAAAAATTATTTAAATCAAAAGTAGCTCACTGTACTCTAAAGCAAGTGCATAATTACAATTACACAATTATAATTATACAAATGTATTATTAAAAGAATTACACACTTATATATAACAAATATAATTATTAGTGTAAAATTCATCCCAGCAGGAGCTTTAACAGCATGTTTTGTCTTCATTTTTCTATAACAAGTGGTATTCCAACTTTAGACCAAACTGTATTCACACATGAACCTTAATTATTTTCTTGGAATCCATAATGTTAAACATGTAAATAAGATTAGACATATTTGCTTTGTTTATTACAGAGCTGGTGATTCTTGGTGCAAAATCAGTTCAAATCAATAAAAAAAAAACAAATAAACAAACATTTTGTTCTGGACAAATGCAGTAATTCATAAATCCTAAAATGTTTTGATATTCACTATAGCATAAATGTTTTTCAAAAAACCAACATGGATACATGTGGCACATACAATTTGGCACATATGTTTTAAAGGGATAGTTCACCCAAAAATAAAAATGTGATGTTTATCTGCTTACCCCCAGGGCATCCAAGATGTAGGTGACTTTGTTTCTTCAGTAGAACACATATGATGATTTTTAACTCAAACCGTTGCAGTCTGTCAGTCTTATAATCACACACAATTATCTCAATGATTGGGATTAAAATAACTAAACTACAAGGTAATATTAACACACAAACAATGCATATACCAGAGGGAATTAAAGCAAGCTATTTATTTTTATGAATAATAAACGTCTTCAAAACTTCACCACAAGGCCCATTTACAGCATGCATCCGAAAATTAATCGAAACATCCACAGAAACAAGTTATATACTATAAAGTATGACAACAAATTCAAGTTTCAATATAAGATAATAAAGCCAAGCACACGTTAAGTACTTAGCAGATAAATGCTTAACGTAATATATACGATAATTATTAAACATATGATAGCAAAAACATTACAGACTACTCACCGTGCTCTCTCGTTGTCAAAGCTCCGCCCCTCACTTCCGGTTCTGTGGCTGCGGTTCTATGGTTGCGGTTCTGAAACTGCTGGTGCTGCGGGTCTGCAGCTGGATACTATTGGTCCAGATGAGGTTGGAGTGTGTGTCAACGTTTAACTGTTTTAAACAGTTCCCATAATACCTGATATGTTTAACTGATTTGAGTGGTTTGAGTTTACAAAGGTGGCTAAATCATTTAACAGAGATGGGTAAACATAAGATCTGCTATTGTGTTTTCAGATTTATTATTGAACAGCTAAATGTGTTTCCAGATAGCAGACGTAGGCCTACATCTGCAAGATGTCCGTTAAAGATCGCTTCATCTGCATCTGCCGTGTACAAAAACATCTGATAAACATCTCTGAGATGTCAGTTTTACATGCATTCTAAATCATAAACATCTTAAAGACATCTTCTAAACGTCTATTTGACATCTGATAGGAAAAATCCTATAGACGTCTTGCAGATGTAAATGCAGACGTCAAATAGACATCTCTGTGATGTACTTGTGCAATCAGGGTTATCACATATTGGTTGTCTCTGTAAGATAAAATGCTGAGATTTGCAAAATAATTCGCAAAACTACGTATGTTATGAAAAATACTATTTATTTGTGTTCCCATTTTATATATCCTAGCCTACATCAGCTGAAAGGAACAACTTTATGAACTGACTTTAAAAATATATTTTTTGAATAGCCTTGCCGTTCATTAAAATGGTACATTAAACAAACAATAGGTTATTTAAAGAATTTAAGTTGCTTGTACAGGTATATGTCTTATTTACATTGCATGAATGCAGCATCCATAAATGTGCACATACCCAAACAACCACCACACACATTACACACACTCATTTTATTACAGCTATTATCAATTAAAACGTACAGTTGCACATTAATTACAATTTTAAATAATTACATTGCAAACCCAGTTACATTTTTATTGGTTGAGACTGCTTATGAGGATCTCTCCCTTCACACACACACACATACAAGAGGCTGTATGGCAATGAGTTTTAATAAGCTAAGTTGCTTTTTAATGTATGTATTTTTATTTTATTTTATTTTATCCATGTTAATGTTACATTTATGTTCAGTTTCAGTTTTTATTCTAAAAAATTCTCAAACAAATCTCAATAATTGTAATACTTAGGCCTATGTCCATGTTATTGATTAAATTAGAAATAATTGTTAATAATAAATAAATGAACATTTTGTTCACAGTGTGCACACATTTTAATGGTGCTCTATATTTTACCAAAAAGTGCCCATTGTACCCAGCCTCACATTACTATTCAAGAACAACTGTAAAGGTTATTAAAATCTGAATGATTACTAAATAAATAAATACACAATAAAAAATAAAACAATGCAAAAATAATAATAATCAAACAAACAAACAAAACACATTTCTTACCTCATGTACCAATGCTCAAAAGCCTTGCATGGGAAATCTCAGGGCAAACCCAAAGGGAGCTTTTTACCATAATTAGAGTTTGATCCTTCCACTGTTGTTTGTTAGTTTCTATGAGACGTCTGCTTAGTCATAGTTGCTCATTTGAAAGAAAATTATAATAATAATAATAAAATCTTAGGTCCAATAGAGTAAAATGAGACTGATTTGTGGTTTCATTTGTTTTTTAAAATAGATTTTTAAATAACTTGCCTATAACGCATTCATTCATTCATTCATCAATCCATCCACACATTCATTATATTCTTTCAGATATCCAGCCATAGTTACAGCAGTTGAATGAAAAATAAATATTTTGTTGCCATTTCAACATTTAACTGCTGTGAAAATACATCTTAATATTAATAATAAGCATATCTACCATACGCATATAGATGGTGTACACAACTGTAAGGTTTGTCAAAATAACATTTTATTACAATTATATCAGCAGCATTGTCACTATAGGTTCCTTTTTTCAATGTAGTTTTTCAAAAGCTTTACCATGAAGTCCGTATCCTGAAAAAATGAATGAAGAAAATGTATAACCACAAAGCATCAATGTACTATTTTAACACTTTACTTTAAGTACATTTGGTTGACCAATTCTGTAAATAGCTCTAATCACCTGATTATAAAGATCCTGTGTCCTCTTTGGATCTTCAAGCTGAGCCTGAAGAGCAACTTTGAGCACCTCCTGAGTAATCATCTCCCTCAAATCCCCCCAACTCCCTGATTCGCCCATAGTATTCCTGGGGAGCTTTGAGGAGAATGGAGAGTCCTGGAACTGGCTGCTTGGAATACTCTTCTTGCCCATGAAATGACCTGAAGGAGTCCAAAAAACGGATTTAGTAGTTGTACTGTAATTGCACAACCACTGAATTCAAGATTAAATGAAAACATACCTGTTGCCCAGAGATTCCCACGTGGATGCACATTTATTTTGGAAACTTTATTTCGCAACTCCGTTAAATCGAGACTGACTGCGGTGCTTAACGATATGTTAAATAGCATAATGAAAGCAACCAGTCTATATTTGCAATGTCCATCTTCAGAACTCACTGCCATCTTCTCAAGTAACTGTAGATGGATTCCTCCGTTCAGATTCAATGATCGCAAGCGCTCTTCGTTCTTCTGCAGGCGGTATTTATAGGGGCACATTGGGGTGGGATGCCAAACGGCTCTGAGGTCATAGTTTTAGTCACTGAACTCACATAAAGACAGCGCATGTTTAGTCTGTTTGAATGAGGATGGGAAACAATATGTGACGTGCGTTGGCTGTGCGCATGCAATTTAATTGAATTGAATTGAAATATAATTGAAAAACGTTGAGGCGTTGCGAATTCATAAAGCGTAGGAATCGCATGCATGTAATAAAGACAGAATGATTCTGAGGAACTACTACTATGACTTGATAAGATATATCTATTTAAATATATATATTAAAATAGATGTCTCATTTGAATCGCAGGGTAAATAACTAACTGAATTTAAAGATACTAATATCTACTTACACATAATGCTTGAATAAAGCATTATAAGCTGCACATTTTCTAAGCATACTTACAGGAAATATTTTATGCATTTGTTATATTTATGATACACATCTGGCTGCTGTATAAAGACTATACACTGTAAAAATGATTTTATAAATAAAAAAAGACTACTGTGTAATCTTTGTTTTACAATAAAACACTATTTCAGGTTTTCTACCTCAAAATGTCACATTTAATTCATTGTGTTACGTGCCATTTCATTGTAATTGTTGGTGAAATGTTAGCAATTTCAGAGTAAAAAATTTTACACTTTTTCCCCCCAGTGTGTGACTCCTAATATAATACAAAAACACTTTTCATAAGAAATTACGAGAATGAACAAGAAGAATGTATTTATAAAAGAATACACTTTCAAATTTGGCTCAACATTTTTATTCAATACAAAATTTCGCCTTTAAGAAAGAGTTAGATCTTGACATATGGTGCAAGTACAGCTGTAAAGTCAGATCAAACAAAAACTGAATTTGGTATGACATGGAAAAGTAACAAATACAAATTCTTCCAGTAATTTTTGTGTTTGCATTGTCATTAAACAGAGAAAATGATCATTTGACCTTTGTCTCAGACCTAAGAGCAAGTGCAGGAAAAAACACCATAAAAACTGGTCACAAGACGGACGCGTGTTCCCTGATGGCGTTACTCTTGAAATTCTTCATTCTCTGTGTACCAAAACAAACAGCCCGAGCAAACACAGTACAGCATACTGTCAGGGAACAAAGAACAAGTGTTAGAACAACTGCGATGTAACCACTTCTCATCATTTAAACAGTATTCATTACATACCTTAAATTTGGGGTAGTCATTCATCAAAATTGTGACAATTCCAATGTAAGGCACAAACCTGTCATCGAGGAAGTGTGATCAGAAATACAGTGACATGTGCAAAGCAATGTAATGACATGCAATAAATAGAACTTACATTAGAGTGCAACAGTTGGCTTCTGGAAGTAAAACTTTCTCCATGGGGAAATATATTTTTAACAATAAACTATATAAACCTTTACAGGCAAATCTGTTGTGAGCTATGAGGTTGTTAATCAATGGTATATGCTTTCGTTGAAGCCATCAGCCCACATAATTTTAACAGTGGAATTCTTAATGTAAAACTACATTGCCCATTTTGCTGTGCAGAAAGTCCCACCAATCAGAGCGTTGTAGCCAGTAAAATCGCACCAAAAGAGCTTGCAGAAAAGTCAGACATGAAAGCACTCTAAACTAGATCTGATTTATTTGCTTAAAGATGACTAGGGATTCTTACCCCCTTGCTCTTCCCACCACGTCTTTCTTCTCCAACCAGTGCTGTCCCTGCTTGTAAAGGCCTCTGTCATCCACAGAATTATTGTCACCTTTCGTCAAGAACTTGACATCACCATTTTCTCTGAAATCAGTAGAGATCAATGTTATTGGAAGGAACAAAGACAGGCAGTATGATCAGAAAACCACAAAAGGCACAACTTAATACGAATACATACAGCTCTATCCCTGATAATCTAAACTCTTCATGATGTGAATTAGACTGGGATCTTGTTAAAAACAAGCACACCATCTCAATTAAAGGTGCAGTAAGTGATTTTTGAGAAACTCTGTTTATATTTGAAATCACCAAAACATACATGCCCCGCCCCCTACCCAAAAGGATCACACCTCTATCTTAATAGCTCCGCCCCCAAATTCACAAACATGCTATGCAGCACAGGCAACTCCCCTATCATGAGTGGACACGCCCCTTACTGGTGATTGGCTAGAAGTGTGTTTTGATGCTCGGTCCGATCCACTTTCAACAGCGTTTCTCAGAAATCACTTACAGCACCTTTAATATTTTCAGCCCAAGCTATGGTGAAAATGTACTGCGTGTGAACACTCTCTCATTCAGGAAAACTTGCATTTTTGTACGTTTTAAACATGCATCTTTAAGTATACGGTACTTACTTTTCATGAATTTTTAGGACTCTGTGTACAATGGGAATTTCTCTTCCCTCAATCCTGAACACAACAATCTCTCCCACTCTGATTGGATCTTCAACACGATTTGTGAGAAAGAGGAGGTCTCCTCTGTGAAACGCAGGCTCCATGCTTCCACTACAATAATAATGACATTAATAATTACACTTCACTGATGTAAATGTAATAATTTGTATTGTCTTGTGCAGCATTTGAATCATATGCCTCAATTATGTTTCAAACATCCTAGTGGGTTGCATATTTGGCTTCCCAACAAAAAGCTGGTTTTAAGAAATCATTTTCAAAAATAAGATTCATAAACTGATTTCAAAATTAAAACATGCAGGTTCAAAAACACTCTAAAGTCACACACATTTTAAGAAAAGTCTATAAAAAAATAGGGCCCAATGCTAAAATGATGGAATTTTTCAAACGTGTTTTACCTGTATTTTGAATTACGCATTGCATTATGTTGTATTTTAGTTGAAGGAAGTTTCCATAAATTTAATGGATAATGTCCTGGAAGAAATTCACCAGTACTTTTTTTGTTGTTGTTCTCAATATTTTTTCTTACAGTGCAGCAATCCATAACAACACATGCATAAATAAACTGAAAACATCCTCAGGGTTTCCATACATTTTTTACCAATGCATTTAGTTTTCCGGTTTGCTTTGTGATTGCTGGATAAGGACATTTAACACTCACTTTTACATTCTGACTTGCCCAGTTTCTACAGTAAAAAAATTAGATTTATTGGCTCTGTAAATAAAAGTACAGTGTAGTACAACAGTCCTGGATAATCACTCATTTTGAAATGAAACAACTGAAACCGTATTATGTAAAAGGTAACAAAGCATGCTGCAAAATATTACCTGAGAACAACCACAATCGGGCTTTCACTCCCAGTTACAACCATCAATCCTTTCCAGATCATCAAGGCTGAAGATACAATCATTCCAAAATTCAGCACCTGATAGTAAAGCTGAAAAACACGAGAAGCTAAACATCAGATGGCTTTTTCTTTGGCTCCCAGTTTGCTTAAATTTACTAGCGAAAGTATGTGTTGTTAGTAAAAAATAATGATGATTGATGCAGATTTGAGATCTCTTGTAGTGTAATGCCTTAAAGTCAAAGTACTGTAATATATAAATGAATAGCACAGGATAACAGAGTAGCAGCTTTTGTAAAAAGCCGACTTCCTTGTTTACACCTACTCAACAACAAAATATTCAAAGTCATTCAAATCATATTTCATCTCTACAACTCGCAATAAAGAGCACTAATAATATGTATAAAACGTTAAAGCCACTGCCATTCAAGCTGACGTGTAACGTAGTAAGAGAGCGCAAAGCAGAGGAAGCGCCGAGCTAACTGGCTAAATAAATACACACCTGCCGCTTATTCATTCGCCGGACATCGTCGAGGAAGTCTAATGATAACATTTTATCTGTAGATTAAATATGTACGACAAAGATCAATTAGAATAATTGCAAAATTGATCTTTTTTTGCAAACGTTTCGCCGCCACTGCTATAGTTAGCGGATACGCGGCGACTTCTCTGGTTGCGTTACTTCCGGTAAGAAGAGGAAGAAAAAAAACTAATGAAAGATGATAGGTTGTCGTTTCATTTTAAATATATGTATGTATAGCTGGCTCCTGAATTATAATACTTTTGTTAATTCTGTTCAACAAACTAAAATTCCAATTATGTATCTTTTGTAATAGCTGTTCGATAAACAAGAGAACACAATAAAACATGACCTGCTAGTGAGACGTGTTGTCACAAAAGGTCAGTGCGTATCTACCTTTCCTAGGCAATAGCGGCTTTTTGTATCCAAGACTTTAAGTTATGTCTGTACAGAAACTGACTTAAAAATAACATCCTGAGAAATAGTCATCTAAGTAAGTATGAGACGTTTTTCACACTAGGAAAACCGTTTCATGGCAGATTTAAACGTATCAGACATAAAGGTTTAATCTGAAACGCTATTGGTGAAAAATCGAATGACAAAAACAATAGTAATCTTTGTATTTTACATTTTGAAGGCCCCCAAAACACCAAACCTCTGCTGATGGCACAAACTGTAGTTGTCTCTGATGTCTTTAATATGTAAATTATTTTTTCCATACAAGCATTTACAAAAGTGCTCAATTTGATTGTAAGAATGGCTCATTGAATATAAATGCCATTGAAACTACTAACCTACATGGAATTAATATGAAAATATACTTTCTTTGAGTGCAGATACCTGGGTTTAAGTGAATACCATTTAGAATAATGTACTCTCCATAGTAGCAATGCAGTTACAGATGTTTAGCTTTGTGTGATACAAGCACGCTACCTAATAAATATAAAATAAACATCAGACCTGCCCTTCCTTCAAGACCAGCACAGCATAAGCACCACCAAAGATTGACCATCAAATGTACTAAATTCTTCAGCATTTTTTGGTGACCCTGAAAACAGTCAAAATATTAAATGACTGTCTCACTTATGGCTACACTGAGTAACATACATAACATTTCCTGCGTTGTAATGTACCCAAGACAGATTTGACGTGGTACATGAACAA